TGTCATAGACAGGTAAATTACTTTGTTGCTAATCTATTTGGGTTTTTTTCATGCTAACATAAGTCTGTCGGTCTGTCTATGTGGACAGACATTCAGGCTAATCTACGAAATGGTTGAACCGATTTCGATGAAACTTCGTGAACAGATATCTTAAATGTATGTAATGTAATGTAATGTAATGACTTTGAATATCTTAAATGTATATAACACCAAATTCATATATCCTATCCAGGTGAAACCGAGGCGGGCTTCCTAGTTCGTCTTTGTTTCAGTTTCTTTTTACTTATTTTAAGCCAGTATTTAAAATAAGTAAAATGATGAACCCTTGATGGTAATTCACACTCGTCTTAGCTTAACAAAAGCCTATTTATTCTTGCCTTGAAGACACCAAGATGGTAATTGAACGAAAAGACCGTAGTAAATTATTCCACTGTACAGATTGCAATTGAATGGAAAGACAGACGCTGGTAAATTATTCCACTGTATACATTACGAAAGACAAAGGAAATCACTTGTTTCGAATGCGTGGAATATTGACAAAAAGGAGTACGAATAGCGACAATCCGCTGACCGCATGGTTACCTGATGGTTGAAAGAGGAGGGAGGGGTTAACGAATGTCATTCCTGCACGCACTCTCCGAAATGTATCCTACAGAATACCGAAAGGCTGGCTACTCTACACCAGTTATAACCAGTATGCGCCTGTTAAGCTTGTTTTGGGCGACGGTAGTAATTTAACGATAACGTATTGAGCATCATGCGAGGTCTATGAGATCCGGAAATAGACTCCATTTTTGTAGTTACTTACTAAACACAAAAGAAGTAAAGTTGCTATTTTATGCTAGTATTCTGTGAGAGCACGTTCCTTCTTTTACAGTTGCTACTTAGGGCGTGCTATATTATAATTTAATTATTAACAATATTGTGGCATTATTGACTACTAAAATAACAAATTTTTTACAAAAAAGTCACAATATATCTGTTATTGCCACTATAAACTGTGGAGTGTCCGATATTAAGTGATAGCTGCATTACACTCTGAAACCAAATGGCAGGCATTCGATGAGATGTTATACCGTTATCGAATTGGCTCCGAGTAAATATACGTAAATGAATGTTGGCCTGAGGATTAAGGTGCCAGTGATCAGTGACCGCTAGCTGCCTTGCCGTAGGCGGCGAAATTGCGACATGCGTATACAAACCTGATAATGTAGGTACACTCGAGGAAAAAAATGTATCGCGATCCTTTATTAATATATTCGACATGAGTCATATTTGTTTTAGTATCAACATTAGCAAGTATATACTAGGTTGTTCAATAAGTATAAAAATGCGTTTTAAAAAAGTATTTCTAAATTGTATTTATTTGTCAACGTAATTACCTTCTAACCTATTTACATCTTTAATAACGTTCTGAAAGTGGCTTAATTCCCTATACACTTGGTAAACATAACACAACCGATCTTGGTTATAAAAAAAGACCTTTGCCATACCCACGTTCATGACGTCATCATCTCCACCAAATTTTATACCACATAAGTACTTTTTCAAATTGCCAAACTGGGAAAATCATTAGAGTTGGGTCCGAAGAATATGGTGCGTACAACGTCAAACACGGCCGTTCGAATGACAGTCACATTCTTAGTATTATTTTCTTAAATAAAAATATATATTTTATATACTAAATCATATTTCAAATATACATATAAAAATAAAAATACATATTTTAAATACTAAATAATATTTCAAATATAAGCATATTTTATAATAAATATATAATAAAATTAATTTTATTTATATTTTATTTTTTTACACATTTTTTTATATTCCTGCATAGTTTTTACGTGGTAGAGCCATGCTGTAGGTAGATATATTAGTAGTATAGTTGTAGCACGAATGGGTCGGCTCGACCGGAGAAGGAGCACGTTCTCAAATAATACCAGCGTAAAATAGCAGCTTAACACTGCTGTGTTTCGTATGGTGAAGTAGTTCCATCTTAGTCCTCTCGGGTGACAACGCATCTGCATTTTGATTTGTAATAGAGGATAGATGTGGATGTCTATGGGCCGCAGCAACCACTTACCATCAGGTGGACTGTGTGCCCGTTTGTCACTCTTTTCCTATAAAAAAATAGTCATCTCAATTTGAGTTATATTCAAAATTTTAAGTTTCCAGCTAAACACTCGGAACTACAGACAAAAAAGAAAGTGACTTAATAAAAACGTGGTAAAAACATCGAAGTTTTAGTACGCAAGTACATTTTACTTCAATGATAAAAACATATGACTTTCTTTCGCGAGTGTACCGGCGCAGGCACTTGCTAATAATTTACGAATATTTATTTTAAGTCCACCAGCAATTCATTTCACTAAAAACTGTCGTAACGCGTGAAATTACATGATCACGGCAACGTCATTAGTTGAGGAACAGAATATGTTCTTGTAAAGTCTCAGGATCGGTTTCATTGTTAACGGCGACTTTGTGACTTTGTCTTCCAGAATGAATATAGGTATTTCACCACGACCATTCTCAACGGAGAGTGTATGCGCAAGTATAAGTGTATTCTCTATTCCCTCAATCTCAAGTCCGATGGGACGGTAAATACGACACGATCGGACAGAGATGAGGCGCAGGACCAACGGCTTTAAATCCTTTCCCAATGCTCCACATGTGGTCCCATTTATTTGTACAAGGTCTGACCAGTAGTTTTTGAGTTATCTTTAATAATTTATATTGAAGTCAGTTTTGTACACTGTATAGTGTGTGGTAGAACCATGCTGCATATCTGGTATATTGTAGCACGAATGGGTCGGCTCGAGTGTAGAGAACCGGAGACCCTTTTTACTGGAAATGAGGATTCGTAATCGAAGATAGATGTAGATGTCTATAGGCCACAGCAATCACTTATCATCAGGTGGACTATGTATTCGTTTGTCACGCGATCCTATAAAACAAATTAACCACTTGTATTCTACTCTAACTTTCCAAAATATGTACCTTACTTTTAGGCACAACCTACATGAATCAATGTGTTTTTTTTTTGTTTAAATACAAAGTATGCAACTAACATAATAACATAAATTTAAAATGTATTTATAACAAGTTTAGTTTTTGAGTTATTCGTATACTTTAACTTTAATCCTTAGCAAAAACGGTCCAAAAGTCTGACTTTGATGACCCTATTTATATTTATATATATATTTCCTTAATCTTGAAGATAAGAAAAAAAAACAAAAGAAAATGACATCTCATAAAAATTTTTTCGGCTTCTTTTTTCTGCGCGTAACAATGAACAATAGTTTAATTGAATTGCTAATTCAAGATTCGGTTGTAATCAACATTCGTTTTAGGCAGCGTTTAGTTAATAAAACCATTCCTCCGTTTTTTCCCTGGATAAATGACACTGAGCAGATAATTTTAATTGTTTAATTTAATCTATTTTTTTAACTTCTAAAGTAACTAAACATGTGCATATAAGACATCCAGCTACACTATTTTTTGTACGCATGTAAGTAATAATTATATTTATTTGTATTGCAACTCTAGTCGGTGTTTAACTCAATGAAGATTTAGTCAGGAAACAGTTAATAGATGTGCGCTAACCGCTAACTGCAGTAAATTACGCGGATAATGAAGGCACCGAGAGTGGATGTGCATGATCATTGTATGAAGGCCACCGCTCTGGAGACTGGTTAGATTGAAATGATATACCTACGAAATACTAATTGCTAGGTACAGCAGTATTTTAACAAGATTTTATGTTCAATATTCGAAAAATTTAAACTGGTATAAACTATGTGGCTTAGGACCGGGGGACACATATTGTGACAAACGAGCACACAGTCCACTTGATGGTAAGTGGTTGCTGTGGTCCACAGACATCTACTTTTATCCTCATTTACGAATCAAAATGCAGATGCGTTGTCACCCGTGAGGACTAAGATGGAATGCCTCTTATCCAGTAAAAAGGGTCTCCGGTTCTCTATACTCACCATACGAAACACAGCAGTATTAAACTGCTATTTTACGCTATAGATACAGATATTTTACGCTTTAGATATAGTTAGGTTTGTAAAGGCAGGTAATTATGATGATGATAATGAAAAATTAGCTGTAAAAATTGGTCAAGTGCTTACTGTATACAATTATAACACTTTTTATGGTTTTTATTATAATTTTTTCTATCAATACATTTGGAGAAACCTTGTGGGGAACTGTAGTTCTGAATCATTTTTAGGTGTCGACAAGGTGACAAAGGGAAATGAAGTAGAAGATGGGCTGCAGAATTTTCTCGATAACAATTTAATTGCCCACATATTGCTTCAGAGAAATCCATCCTGCCTAATATGATTGTACAATTATACATGAACAAGGCCTAACGAAAGCCCTGCAATTACTGTTACATATTATCAAAGTCCACTGCTAAGCATAAACCTCCCATATAAATCCATAGCGGGAGTATAATTGCCATAGTTGCCACGTTTGACAGACGTGTTGAGTTGCAGTTTTTTTATTATTATTAAGCTCTTTTCTCTCTTACGACAGCCACTAGATAACATAGGGTAGTAAATTTTCTTACACAACACTTCACTTAAATTTGTTTTCTAATTTCAATTAGTGCTAGGGTTTTTTATATATTATAAAATTAAACCCAAAAAATACACGGCCACTGAGAAATCACAGCACAACATTATAAACATGTATTTTCTCTTTTTACATAACTTTAATACCTTATAGTGTGTCAATAAATACATCTAGATACTCGTTAGTATACAATAACATATCGTCGTTGCGCGTGCAATACCGCGGAAGAGCAGTTTGTAAATACCGCGTAACAGCAAAAAGTGCAAAATTGAAATTTCGCGGCTACAGACCCTTAGCGCTGATTCGCTTATACTACTTCTCACACAATTTGAATTAGCCAATAAGAAACATCATATTTCAATCAAAACAATACCGCGTAACAGTACTTGCGTTTGAAGTTGGCTGCAAATCCGCGTATTTACGAAATGGGCGAACAAATTGAAACACGATTAGTGCGTGCTCTCGAAAATAATTATTTTGTAGTGAATAATAACCACGTAAGTACGTTTTTATTTTTTATAGTGTTTAGTTTTTAATGTATTTATGCTTGAATAGAGTAATTAAGTACAATTCTTTAGTATTTTTATGATTGTGAGTAATAATAACCTGTAACACGTAGTTAAGTGGTATTGATACTACATTATACTAGTTGTGTTTATCATTTACGCGGTATTGCATTATATTAAATTTGTTTTTTTTTTAGATACAAATAATTTGAAGTAACCGAATAATGATGGAGGACGGAGAAAATGAAGAGTTTTTAGAGAATGTTGATATTAACGATGACGTGGTAACTTTAAGAGATCTATTTGAAAGGCGAAAAATATTGTTGCGAAAAAAGAAGGAAATATTGAATAAACAATATTATGCAAATAAACTTGCTGCAGAAAATCAGCAACAAGAACTAGTTTCCGTTCCTTTATCAGGGGAATTAGAGCAAGAACCTCCGAACCAAAATTTGACATCCGAATTGACTACGCTTACAACAATATTGGATACTACTTCAACACAGAATAGAGATGAGAATATTACTTCTATTGATGTAAACATTAATATAGTGGAGCCTAATAAAAATGACCTTGAATTTTCGTCCGATGATTCAGTCACTGATCCTTCATTTGTCGCCCTCTCAGACATAACAAATTTAAAGCCACTATCACCAGCAAATACGGAGTGGTTTCCCGAAAGGGAAATAGAAAATACGGCGAAGAAAAATGGAAGAAAGCGGAAAGGGAATCCTAATAACTGGAAAAGAATAATAAATAAGCGGCAAAGGATGATGGGCGAGGAATACATTGGATTTAAAAAAGATGGCACTAAATTCGTTCAAAATGATCCTAAACCCGCCAGAATAATGGGTCCAATATGTATGTCGAAGAGATGTTTCAGTGGTAAAGCTATGTATTGCCCAAAGCTAACAGAAGAAGTGCGGTCAGAAATTTTTAAAACCTATTGGAAAATGAGTTTGCATGAAAAGAAAATGTATATAGCTTCAATGGTGGATAAGACACCTACAACTAGAAAAACTAAGAACTCAAATTCAAGGCGCAGTGACACCAAAGTTTACTATTTAAAAGTAAACGATAAAAAGGAAAGAGTTTGCTTAAAAACATTTTTGGAAACATTGGGCATAAAAGAATGGACAGTTCGATATTGGCTAGGAGAGAAGACGACTATCGACAATGAATCTGAACCAAGTGCTGTAGTAGCCACAGAAACAAAAAAAGAATCAGCCAGAAAATACTTGATGGCGCTACCGAAACTACCGTCTCATTACTGTAGACAATCTACTTCAAAGCTTTATTTAGAACCCATCATACAAACAAAATCACAATTGTATCGTCTATATGTAGACTACTCAGTTTCGCGAAATGAACCTGTGGCCTCTAGGAAGGTATTTGAAGGGGTTTTATTCGAAGAGAACATCAGTCTATATCAACCAAAGAAAGACGCATGCGACCAGTGCTGCGCTCACAAAGCAGGTAACATGTCAGATGAGCAGTATATAAAACATATTGAGCTAAAAGACTTAGCTAGAATTGAAAAAACCCTTGACAAAGAAGCAGCACGGAAAGGGACGATACATGCATTAACAGCAGATCTTCAAGCAGTCAAATTGTGTCCTTCACTCAACGCCAGTGCACTATATTTTAAGACAAAACTTGCCGTCCACAACTTTACAATTTACAACCTGGGAACTAATGGAGTCGCGTGTTACTGGTTCGACGAGACGGCATGCGACTTAAAAGCTACTACATACGCATCATTTCTTGTAGATTATTTAACTAAATTACTGGAAAATGATCCAAAGGATGTAGTATTGTTCACAGATGGCTGCACAGCCCAGAATAGAAATAATATTGTGTCGAATGCGTTGTTGCGTTTGGCCATGGCCAAGAACATAGTTATAACTCAAAAATACTTGGAAAAGGGCCACACTCAGATGGAAGTCGATTCGGTGCACTCGGTGATCGAAAGAAAATTGAAAAATCGAGAAATATTTCTACCCTCACAATACGCAACAATCACGAAGGAGGCCAGAAAAGTGCCGAGTCCTTACCAGGTTATTACTCCTGATCATACATTTTTTTAAAACTTTGCTCATAAAGATCACCTCATTTATGATTCAATAAGACCTGGTCGTGGGGCGGGTGATCGTGTCGTCATGGACATAAGGGCCCTAAGATACAGTCCTAGTGGGACAATTGATTTTAAACTCCACTTTGTAGACGATTTTGTTCCTTTACCTAGGAGACCAAAAAAGATATTATCTGACTCTTTAATTGATTGCGTAGGTCCATTGTATGAATCCAGACAACCAATATCCAAAACAAAGTATGATCACCTACAGGAATTGAAGAGTGTCATACCTAAAGACTGTCATAGTTTTTACGATAATTTACCTTTTAAATAATATTCCTAATAACCAAGATCTTAAATGCTGTGATTATTAATCGTTTTAATGAGAATTTAAGAACTAAGATAATAGAAGTACTTCTACGTCTAAGATAATAAGAATATAAGAGCATCCAGGTGTAATGATTGCCATATTTAATTGTTAAAGCTTTTAATAAAAAAAATCGTATTCGTCCAAGAAACTAATTAACAAAGATTGAAATGCTGGGATTTTAGAAGATCGAGGAGGCTGATTAGTTTATTATTCTTAATTAAGTGAACGTAATTGTTTTATTGTAATTAGAGAAATTCAGGGATTGTGTGATTAAATTGATATCTAGAGTAAGAGTTATTGTTTTTTTTTTCTAAGAAGATGTATAATTTTGTATGTTTTTTTCTACTATAATATATCATAATAAATTCAAATTAATAATATAATATTATGTATTTTATTTTAAGCCCGCGTATCTCCTAAAAGTATAGTATTTAAATGTAATTTGCTGGTACAAAACCGCGTAAGTGACTTTACACGAAATCTAAACAAGTTTCTAGTACATTTACGTTAAATTTCTATAAAATAAGTAACAAAGAAGCTGCTATAAAGTTCAGTCGATAATATAATTATAAATTACCAAGTTATTAAGTTTTTTCTTCTTCCTGTAAAATTCTAAAAATGTAGATACGCGGTATTTACAAACTGCTCTTCCGCGGTTTTGCACGCGCAACGACGATATCCGTCTTAATTATTACGCAACTCTGTTTTATATGTTTGTCTAAAGAAACGTGCGTATAAAGCTGCTGCCAATTATCCGCATTACGCAATATGAAGCAAAGCTACGTTTTATTACTTAAATTTAAATATTTGGTGCAAACTGAAGATGAAAGAGGTTGAAAAATAAAGTTAAATAAAATAAATTAAATGAAGAAAATTCATGGTTGGGTTGGGTTAGGTTTAGTTATATCTATGCTCTCAAAATGGCTGGAAATAAATATAATTTATATAAAGCCGATAACATCCGCAGCGGATCACAAGTGCGTGTTGGTAAAGTTTGCATGTTTTCAAAATATTTTCAATTCATGCAAGTTCCTCAATATGTTTTCCTGCACCGCCGAGTACTTGGTAAATAATCACCTAAAAATGCAATTAACAATTTGATTGGTGCCGGCGGATATTACGTTCATTAAAAGGACTTATTTGTTTTTATTACACTTTACGAAATATTTAACTCTAAAGTGGCTATTTCAAGGCCATAATATATTTATTTTAAAAGTGAATAATTACTTATTTTGTATTAGGGTTTTTTTTAACGTGGCAAAGCCATGCTGCAGCTGTATTACTGGTATAGTTGTAGCACGAATGAGCCGGCTCGACCGGAGAAGGACCACGCTTAACGCTGCTGTTTCGTATGGTGAGTATAGAGACCGGAGACCCATTTTAGTAGAAACGAGGCATTCCATCTTAGTCCTCACAGGTGACAACGCATCTGCATTTTGATTCGTAATCGAGGATAGATGTAGATGTCTATGGGACACAGCAACCACTTACCATCAGGTGGACTGTGTGCTCGTGGTCACCCTTATCTCATAATAAAAAAATTAGGTTTTTTTATTTTAGTAATCATTTAATAACAAACTACGGTTACCAATCCGGTTGCCAAGGATGGCACCTATGGTGAACATGCTCCTATGAGACAACCTTTGGGGGAGGTATATGTTTGGCTGTAAACTTTTGATAGGCTGGGATGGTGATAGCAATAATTTTAAAGTAACGTTCATAATATATAATTTACGTGAGTAAGGGGAAAAGTTGATGACGTATACCAAGCTCAAATGAAATAATCATAATATCGTGCATTTCCTTGGTTTGTACCATCTTTGTCCTAACAACGCGAATGTAAATTCACTAAAATGTAAAACAAATCGTTTTAATGTTTAAGTGAATTAATTTTTATTACTCTATAAAAATATTGATGTCGGTAACTCTATTCAATTTTACGACTCCGTTCTTGTAATAAGACATTAATCGCTGCGATTATTATGAAAAGGCCAATAATTCTTGACCGATTGTAGTACCTAATTACATGTAGCTTAAGTAATACCAGTCAAAATTTATGTTAGGGTCTAATTATATGGCCTTTGTATGCCATTTAGAGAACAAATGAGATTTTATCTTATTTAAGTATTTAAGGTTGCAGATTTAAATTTTTATGTTTAAATATTCAGTGTCAACGCTCTTGTATTTTTTTAGTATTCAATAGTAATTCTTTAATGTCTATCGCTTTCATATAAAATGTATATACAGAATGTCCTGTTAACTTTTTTTTTGGCTGTTCTCATAGCGCACGATCTCATCTCTCGTCTGTATATTGTCTATTCTACTAAGACAGTAACCAAGCATTCGGGACCAATACAACTATTTTTGTTAACTATATTGAGATGATGCTTATTTATCTACTAAATATATTATCATTGTGGGATAATTTTTTATAAAGGTATTTAATAAACACAATTAAATGTGAATATAGGATGTTAACACCCACAAGGGGTGCCACTTTACCAATTTTTAAAAAGTTAATTGCTGCACGCGAGTTCTTTCCATAGTAAAGAGGATTTGTCGTAATCGCCTCGTTTGGCGGGTAGATTAACGATCACACATTAGTATAATCTTATACTACTCTTTAACAACTTTAAGTGTATCTTGTCGGTTGCATAGCCAACAAGTTATAGTCTGTTCAGTTAGATACAGTCACCTTTGGTCACATGTTGCATTTTGTCAAAGACGCCGCCAAGATATCAAAGGTCGCCGCGTACGGCGTACACCCGAAGGAGAATTAGTCATTTTAAAACGAAAGGTTCTTTATTATCTAACTTGTTTTTATTATTTATATTTGTATTTTACTACAATAACCATAAGAATAAAATAGTATTCTATTTTATTCTTTCATTTGGTAAGTATAGGGGAATTTGGTTTCATGTCTGTCAACAAAATTATTTTAAAATTGAACCGACATAGCATAATGTCATATGGAATCTTGCTATGGGGTAATGCTACTGACATTGAAACTATCTTTGTTTAGAGAGCCATAAGAGCTATTTATAACCTAGGTCTGAAGGAATACCTTAGATAAAAAAATTAAGAAGTAAATAATAATATTACCTTAGGCCTTTCAATATATTTACGAAAATTTAATTGTGTACATAACAAGAGCAAAAATTGTTTTATTAAAAATAGTGATGTACATCCCATTAATACTAGGAACAAGCACAAGTTAGTTATACCAGTTACTCGACTCCAAATGTATATACGCTTTTACAACAAAGTCCCAGAAAATATGTAGACCTTATCTATCAATAGGTTTAAAATATTTATTTAGAAAAACATGCTTGGTAAGTGTCATTATACAAAGAGTACATGATTGATAATAGCCCCTGGGAATTTGGTGATCGCTACCATGCTGTTTCTAAATGTTTTCATAACAATTTTATAAAATATTTTAATGTAAATTATCTTTTTTTTTAAAGTCCAGCTGGGTTCCTTGCTGGTTCGTTCCAGGACATATGTCTTTTTCCGAATCAGTGGTAAAAGTAAAAAGAATGACTTTCAATTAGTATTACATGTAATCTATATTGAGTAAAATGATTATATTCCATTCTAATAAAGTTACAGGCCACAAAGACTCCGTGGCACCGGTGGAGCCGACATGAATGTGCCACGCTCCATCGAAGACATGCTTAGAAGGACCACGATCTCACAGAATACCAGCGTAAAATAGCAGCTTAACGTTGCTGTGTTTTGTATGGTGATTGTAGAGAATCGGAGATATCTTTTACTGGAAACGAGACATTCCATCTTAGTCCTCAGGGTTCATAAAGCATCTGCATTTTGATAGTCAAGGATAAATGTAGATGTCTTTGGGCCACATCATCCACTTGTCATCAGATGAACTGTGTACTCGTTTGTCACCTTTACTCTATATAAACAAAAACACTATTTAAAGTTAATGTCGCTGTGCAATTGCGACTACATTGATTAATATATGAATATTTTTATTACATATGCCTTGATAATTTTACTCATGTATATTTATTTTTTTATATATAATTATCATTACTTATGATTATTGAAAACATATTGATATTTATTTCTCGTAAACACATACATTACGGAACCTTAAAAAAAGAGAGTGGGTAGGATATTTACAAAAGGCTTACGTCGCCCTCGCGTGGGCACCAGTGATGCCAATTTGGGTTAATTAGGTCAAAATTGATAGCAGTACGGTCAGCAAATTTATTGCACTGGTTCTGCCGCAACCACTTTGTGCACGTCATGTTTTTTATTTAGACGTCAGAAATAAACGATTATTGTTTTCAATGCCTTATGAAGGTGAACCTTAAGTGGTTACATTTTCTTTATTGATTAAAATCAGTTCTAACAAATTACCCGTGATTTACAATATGATCATAACTCAGAACTACAAGTGAACTTTTTAAACTGATTGAAATTTACTCCTAGTTAAACTCTATTTATGATTTTTTTTATTTTATTATATCAATTGAAATAATACAATAAATTATACGCAAAACTAGGCACGAGAGAGAACGGTGAGCTGCAGGTAGGGAAATTACGGAAAGGGAAAGGGAAAGGAAGCTACGGAACCCAAGAGGCTAGCAGCGACTTCATGGAGAAAGAGGAACTCTTTATGTTAAACTCTTTCTTCCAGAAGCGGCCCCACAGAAAATGGAAATGGTCGAGCCCCGACGGTTCGACAAAAAATGAGATTGACTTCATTATGACGACTAGACGGCAACTGTTCGGTGATGTCTCAGTGATCGCGAGAGTGAAAACTGGCAGCGACCACCTAATGGTGATAGACATATATTACCTATACGTTAAGTTGGCTAGGTCACGTCTTATGATGTCAACGTTCCGTCCCCCAGTGACGTGAGTGAAAACTTTCAGCTAGAGTTACAAAATCGTTTTCGGTGCTTAGAAGACTGCGATACAGTGGACGATATGAATGAATAACAAACTCGTGGAAACTGTACATGCAATCGAAGCTAAGTTCTGCAAGACCCGTTGCAAAAGAACTCAAAAACTGTTCGATCACACTCTTAATCAATCTTCTCAATATTTTTTTTTCCACAACTATCAAACAGCGCCATCTAGTCCCAAGCTAAGCAGAGCTTGTGTTATGGGTACTAGACAACTGATAAACATACTTATATATTTCTAAATACATAAATATTATAGATAAATTACACCCAGACACAGAACAAATGATCGTGCTCATCACACAAACATTTGTCCTGTGTGGGAATCGAACCCACGACCTCCGGCGTAGCAGTCAGGGTTACTAACCACTAGACCAACAGGCCAGTCAATATATCATGTCTGTTAGACGGAAAATGATGCTGCAGTCTTCAGCAGATTTGAAA